AACAGGACCCCAAGATACTTAAACTCCTCCACTTGAGGCAGGAACTCTCCTCCAACCTGAAGGGGACAAGCCACTTTATTCTGGCCGCTTCACACTTGGCTGCCAACCTTCCATGTGCATGCTGTAGGTCTTGGGAGGAGGGAGCAAGCAGAATCATGTCGTCCGCAAAAAGCAGGGATGAGATGTACTGGTCCCCGAACTAGATGTACTGCCCCCCCCCCCAGGTCTTCAACCGCGTCTAGAAACTGTCCAATAGGGTTATGAGCAGGGCCGGTGACAGAGCGCAGCCCTGGCAGAGTCCAACATGTACCGTGAACAGGTCCAACTTAATGCCAGCAATGCAGACCAGGCTCCTGCTCCTTTTGTACAGTCCGGATGAACCCTAGTAAAGAGCCCCAAACTCCGTATTCCTGAAGCTCAACCCACAAGGCACCACTAGGGACCCAGTCGAATAACTTCTTCAGGTCCACAAAGCACATCCCATGTAACCTCAGAGGACCCTGTGTAGGGTGTAGAGCTGGTCCACTGTTCCAGAGCCAGGACAAAAATCATACTGGTCCTCCCGAAGCCGGAATTCAACCATCAGCCGGGCTCTCCTCTCCAGCACCCTAGCATAGGCCTTACTGGGGAAGCTGAAAATGCTATTTAAGTTTTTTAGGCAACATTTGTCAGTGGGCCTACTCCGAGAGACAAGACGGCTCCCAAATACAAGACATGTAGTAGCATGATGGTATCCTTCTCTAGTTCCTTTTCCATACTTTCCCAGACAGTTTGCAGGAGGCTTACAGCATGTACTTCCTGCAGCATTTGCCTGTTTCGAACATGGCTATAGAGGAGAATAATTTTGCTTCCCTGACTGACACCAGACCAGGGTGGTATCAGGCAGCAAATTCTCCAACTCACAGTGTCTGGATAGATAATTATTTTAAGCGTTGCTTTACTTTGAAACAACCAACTGCTCTTCAAATTCTTTTAGAATGAGTGGCTTGTGCCTTGTTAACAAAGGGAGGGACAAGCCAATTTGTTAAAATTAATTACAATAATAGTTACTCACTTTGATGTTTAAGCATGTAAGAGATACTGAGAGGTTTAGCCATGATAAATAGCTTAGCTGTTATACAATAAAGACTGAACAGCAGTTAAGCAGCTCCTGTGACAACCACATACTATGTTTATGCGATTAGGTTTCTACAAACATGCTGTTTTGGAGTTAGGGATGCAAATCAGTGTACCTTTGAAATTCTAAGGGCTGGTCCAGCCTGAATAGCTCTTGCCTTGCTAAACGGGAAATTTAATAATAACATTCTGTGAAAGGAAAACAAAATTACATAACATGGACCTTGCTTAGTGACCCATATCCTGAAAGCAGCAAGATCAGCAGAAAAGAAACTTATTAAAAACACACAATAAGATGTCAACTTTTAATTCCTGTAAAGGTTATGTGATTAAGAAAAAAAACTTAATCAGGATATTATAACTATCTCCATCACAGCTGAGTCATTGTTCATGCTTAACTATGTATTTGCATTCCTTGAATGAAACCTACCAATGCATTGCTGGAGGGAATCTTTTCTGGAAACCAGTCAAGCATCTCCTCTATGTCTTTCAGAAGGGACTCAGCCTCTGACAACACTGCAATAACAATGGCACAGAAATCTTACACTCATGGCGAACCCTATCAGAGTAAGCATTCGAAGAAAAACACTTCATTTGTTTTGCAATGCATCATGTGTAGTGTCATATTATAATGAAAAATCAACAGACATTACTCTACTTTTGAAAAGAATGCAAAAAATGTGTGTATTTGTCAGTGTCATTCTTTTTTTAGGGCAGTCTAGGCTGGGCAGTGACAGTCAAGAACAGGTTTGAGAGAAGATAAAAGCAACAGAGACCAAGAATGTCAATCATGGTGGAATGAGTTTACCCATCTGATAAGTTCAACTTACATTGCTGTGTCTTTGAGATGCAAGTATTCAGTTCCTCTTCCATTCTGCTGTCATTGACCTTTGCAGCTTCATTCAGAGCAAAATATCAATATCAGTCAATATTATTTGTCTCACTCTGTTCCTTAAGCAAAACTTTTTTTTAATGTTAATGATGAAGAACTGCGACATCTTAAAAACCAAAGGCGAGCAGAGCAAAATAATAAATCATAGAATCAAGTCTATAACTACTAAAGATAGACTGACACTTTGGCAAGCTAATGTTTTTGGCCTATATTAGTATTTTTCATTGTCTGAAAATCATGTCTTCACCCATTTATTCAGCACATGTCTCTAGATCACGTGAAGCACGCTCGCTCCATTTCCTATCCATTGATGATGTTTTGTTTGATTGATTATCAAATGTTTATTTTTTTTTAATTGAGACTTGTGTAAATGTATTGTTTCTGTTTCATTTTTATCATACAAATGCCAGTAGGAACAGCAAAAATGGCTTTAAAAATCTGGCACCCAAAATAAGCAGCACATATTGGAGCTCATTTAGAGTTATGTCTAAATAAACGGTATCAGCTTATAAAAACCTGTATCGGTCACTCTCTTAGTTACCATCAATGCAATTAAAACACATTTTGTTATTTCTATCTACGTATAGAATCACAAATAACTATTTGTCTTTAGATTTGATCGGACTGCATCTTGTTAAAATGTGCAAATACATTTTTTTCACTTATATGCTGACTTACAAAATAAAGTATGTTATAGTTTTAATTTTAGATAAACTGAACAGTACATTTGGTTATAGTCGATTAATAGCTGTGTTATGTGACGGACTGAGAGCAGCTTAAAAAAACAATCCTATAGTAATCCTGAGCACAATTAAACAGGTAAGGGAAATGGGTGAATACATACTCCAAGTGGATGGCCAATGCATTTTTGTTAAAGAATGCATTGTTTGATTTAGGCTTTGATTCAGTGAAACAGTGGGCAGCACTGTTTTTGCTTAATTTCATCATATCCCTACTCTGGCAAGAAAGCAGTACATGATTTTATACATATTTTAGCCGATGAAAATCTGAAAAGTATGCTGTGGATTTTAATTCAGTCTATTGTACTGTGGCTGCCACACATCGGGCCCTCTGACCTCCAACAGCAGGAAAGATGGGGGAAGAGTTTTACATAAGGACATGATTTAGAAAAAAACTTTTACAATTATTTTATGATGGACTGTGGCATTGAAATTATGAAATAATTATATAAATATGTAAAAAAAAAACGTAGCATCTTACCAGAAAAAATAAAAAACATTTTTATTACTTATCTTTACCTTTTACGGAGCCCGTCTGGTGACATATACAGAAAAAAAGGTTTACAAGATGTAAAGTCGTGGCCACGCCTAAATAATGCGTGAGATTGAGATACATAAAATGTGGCCAGTATGGGATGATTAACCAAACGTCTAGGACTGTAACAAAGATTATTTAGAAAATCGATTAATCGATTAATAATCGCCAGACGAATGGCAGCCCAGTTCCCTACAACTCCCAGCAAAATCCCCTCCAACTTCCAGCCACTGGAGTGAGCCCTTCTTCTCCTGGGCGTGCATATTTTTTTACTCTGACTCCACCCTTTCTTTGAATTACAGGGTCTGACCAGGAGATGACGCTTCTCTTTAGATCTTAATGTCCACAAATCATGACAGAAAGAATATTTTAGTACAAAGATTGATGTTTAAAAAGGAATTGTAAGGGACCAGCCAAGGGTCCATCAAGGAAAGTGGGGAAATTCTGAATGGCTACTACTGTATCTGACATTTTGGTTGCATCCATCTATAACCATGCAGTCTCCTGGGTCCTTCCAGCTCCTTCTGGATGAAGTCAATAATGTGGCCAACGACTCGATGTTTAAATGCAAGACATCACAGAATGTCAATATAGTTAATTCAAGGTTGCAATAAAATTAAATCAAGCATGTTCTCCATGTTTCTTGAATGTATGCTACACCACCTCAAATGATCTCCCTAAGAAATAACTTGTGGCCACAACTTCTCTATCCCGTTCCCACGCATTAGTAACGCGTGGTCACGACTTAACATCTTGTAAACTTTTTTTCTGTGTATGTCGGAGGTCCTCAACAGGGGTCCGCGACCCTTAAGGGGGCCATGGAGGTACTGGGTAAGGGTCGCAAAGGTTTTGGTTTATTAAACATTATTCTCTTATATTCCCCCCTGCAATTTTTTCCACAAATTGAATTGTCTTTAAATTTGCATTAACATGAATTCAACACACTGTAGTAAACAGATAAATGGAGACAGAAGATGTCTTTCAGTCATCATTCAGTGTCACATGGGTGCTCTTTCAAGCTTGGCACCATTTCATTCACAACACCTCTCCCATCAATGAGGAATCAGAATCAGACATACTTTAATATATCCCAGGGAGGAATTACTTTTAATACTCCATCTGTAATAGAGTGACTATAGGACCTGTTTGATATATATATAAAATTAGGGGGTCCCCACTCAACTCGGCATCAGTTTGGTAATAAGTGTATATAATAAATAAGTTGCACTTTGAATGGCTTCAATGCATTTTAAAACAGTTAACTTTACACTTTCATATATATATCCCTCAATTTATTTCTTTACAGGCGCGCTTTTGGCCCTCTATACTACTACATTTGTGGTGGTTAACAAGTCTAAAGTTTATGCAAAAGATAATTATTTTGGAAAAGAAAAGATTTGAAATTGAGAACTTTATGCTAGCATCACTTCTTAACGATGCTATAGTTTAGCTTGATGCTGGCAGCTCGCCAATATATCTCTTTACGTTGTTTTAAAGCCAGAAACATGTCTTTAGATTATATTTATATAATCTAAAGACATGAATATACATGTAAAGATTTAACAGCTATTTTTTTTTTTTTAGGGGGGGATTTAAATCAAACTCACCCACAATACTTGAGAGACAGCAAGTTCAATCCCAATACTTTTAAATACTGCTTTTATTTTGAAAGGACGCTATCAGCGGTGACTCCCGGAAGTTTTTGTTTCCTCACCTGTCAGTTCGGAATATGCACTTGCGAGTGTTAAATCAGCCTCGTCTCTTTTGTTTTCTCTCATTGCCTGGTCTCCTTTTTTTGAGCATCAATGGTAGCTCTATGTGACCAGCTGATATTTAACTGAGGAGGATAGCATCTAACGGTCAGTGCAATTCGACAGTGTTTAGATAAAAGGCTCTTTTTTATTCACCTAGCCAAACAAGGTTTTAGCAGAGCTTAGCTAGCTGATATCATAAGATTGGTGTCGTTCATTAGAGAGAAATGTGGCCTATTCGTCAGAGTCATCGTATAAAGGTGTTATATTGTACAGTATTGTGTTTTTGGAGAGCTGTCTGTGTTGTAATGTGTTTATTTCTTTGAAAGTGATGGTTGAACCAAGGCTAACACAGGGGTTAGCAACAGTTATCGAGTTGCATTGATTGTTTATATCAAAATAAGGCAGTTGCTCGTTCCCTTTGTTGTGTAATGTCTCTTTTTTTAATTTAATATTTCCCGTTAGCTCCTCTGTCTCATTAAAGGAAGTCTGTAAAAAAAAAAAAAAATGACAGTCCATTTCTCGTCACGGATCAGTAACATTTACTTTCGTTTTCTCTGCTCGTGGGGTTAGCTTTCTGTTGATAACCTCCGAGTTGGATAAAAAATGAAGCGGAATGTTTTGCTTTCAACTTTTTTTGGGCTGTGATATCCTGTTCATTAATCACGCTGATACTTATGTCTGCATTAACTTGTATCTTTATTTGATAAAACTTGGACCATTTGTGTTTGCTGCATCATGCAAGGTGACATCATCCACTGACAGCTGCAGTCTGTCTGCTGCCATCTGAGGAAGAAAACTGCTTTGGATCTTTAGAAAACATCTAGCAAGCCCCTATAGATAGATCAAATCCAACAGGGGATGTTTTTTTTTTTTTTCTTTTGTAGAGAAACCCCCTCAGTGATAGCTAGTGGTGTCGAAAGTACACACATTTGTTACTTAAGTAGAAGTATAGATACTGCAGTTTAAAAACACTCTGTTGTACACTAAGTTGCAGTATCAAATTTACCTCTTTACTCAAGTAAAAGTGAAAAAGTATGTGCTCCAAAAACTACTTAAAGTATAAAAGTATAAAGTAACCTTTAAAAAAAAAACAGCCAGATTCCACTATATGAATTGAAAACTAAATTTTTCAACTATTTCTAAAAGTTCTTTGAGATAGTGCAAAGGATGAGGGAGGTCTTATTGGTCTCCATCTCCCGATACGCTCTCGCCTGTGTCCGACCCTTTCAGACATTTCGACATCTTTTTCTGAATCCGACATTGTAGCATGGCATAAACCACAGGTGCTAAAGTCCAGTCCTCAAGAGCTCCCATCCTGTAACTTTTATATGCATCTCTTCTCTAGCACACCTGAATCTAAAACCTAATTTTCCTCATTTAGTTCATCAGAAGCGTGGTAACGAGCCACTCATTTGATTCAGGTGTGTTAAAAATATTTGCATCAAAAAGTTGCAGGATTGTAGCTATCAAGGACTGGACTTGCGCACCCCTGGCATAGACAATTCGCGTTTGCAGTTTGAAGAACACCTGCTTGCTTCTGATGATTTCCTTTAGCTCACCGATGAGTGTTTGCGTTTTATGAGTCATCTAATTACACTAGTTTTCACTAAAATGTGGATGGTGCCAATGATCTGCATTGGATGGCGCACATGACATGAAATAAATATTTATAAACATTAAATCGAAGCTAAGAGTAACGGGTAACGTTTGTTTTAAAAATGTAAGGAATAGAAAGTACAGATAATTGTGTGAAAATGTAATGAGTAGAAGTCAGAAGTAGGAGGAAAAATAAGTAATGGAGTAAAGTATAGATACCTGAAAAGTGTAGTTAAGAACAGTAACAAAGTATTTGTACTTCGTTATTTGACACCTCTGATGTTGGTGCTGTTCTGCTACAAAACTGTCTTTAGTATCCTTTTATTTTGCAAACCGAACATATAGATTCATAAGAAATGTACCAGTCAAACAGCCAGCTATTTAGATTGGCCTCAACAGCTAATATCTATTATCATTAGGACAATTGTTGAACATTTTTTTTTCTTTTCAATGATTGCATTAAAACAAAGAATTCACACTTTGTTTGATCTGTTATTACATGCAAACAGCTTCTTTTGACTAAAATAATTCTGAATCACACAGACATAACACATACGATCTAATGCATATGAAAACAGATGCTAAACAAATTTCGTAAAGTTACTAAAAAGGTGAAAAAAATGAAATTATTGATTTTCTATTTACTTCAGTTTTTCTGCTGGATTTAAAATTACAACTTTGATCAAAGAACGTGTGGAACTGTTCCTCTTTTTGTGTGTTTTAGTACTTAAAAATGTCTAAACCAACAGAGCAGAGCTTAAAGAAAACAAGAAATTTGTATTAGCCAACAAAAGCATAAACTCTAGATATTTTACAATGCAGTTAAACTAAAACTATTCTTGCCATCTCTCCCAGGTCCTTCCCTCCAAGGATTAGGCCTCTGTCAAGACATGGAGCCTTTGACAGTAGACGATGACATTTGTATCCTCAAACACGAGACAGCCTACACCCCTGCAGGAGAGAGCCCTGTGTCCGTGTGTGCTGGTGATGAGTCTGTCGCCTCTCATTTCGCCTTGGTCACAGCTTACGAGGACATAAAGAAGAGGCTCAGAGACACGGAGCGGGAAAACACTTTCCTAAAGAAAAGGGTGAAGCAATTAGAGGAAAAGGTAGGAATGGAAAGAGAAAGAATGGGAATTGTGGCAGGTTTAGATGTTGCAAAATATTTTCATTAAAAATAAATATGTTTACATTAATATCACACAACCTAAAATAATTTGAGCCTAAACAGCATTTATATCTACTGGCAAGACCAAATGTTAGTTTTTATACATTTTGGTGCATTAGTTCAGGAAGTCTTGGTTTATTTAATTAGTATTTTACTGGATAAGACAAAAAGTAACTCAGAGTTGGAAAGCAGAATTAAAATTATATATGATTAATACATTTTTTTACCTTCATTTTTTCCCTTTTGTAACAACTAAAAGTCCTAGAAACTGCTTATTACATTCAAAGATTGATTTTCTTTCCCTATCTCCTTTATAAAATTGCTTAAACTCAGTCATAAATAATCAGGAATGTCTGTGAACATAAATGTTCAAGTGTAGTCTCGCCTTTTTTAGTCTCTAAAACGTTTACTTCCAGGACTTCCTTGTGTTAAACCCCTTTCATCTTGATCTTACCAGCCTTGCTGTGTTTGTTGAAGAAGTAAAACTCCACAACATGATAATGTTCCCACAATATTTTACCACAGGGACTTTGTGATCATGATGTGGTTCCGTCTTTGTCTGCCACAACAATAGTGTTTTACATGTCGGCCTGAAAGTTAAGCTTTGCTCTTGTCTGAGCAGAGTACGTTTCTCTACATTTGTTTTGCCCTCTTCTTACACTTTTGCAGACTTTTTGCAGGACATATCATGTCTTTTTTTTCTTCCACAAGATCAGATTTGTGTGGCGTGCGATTAACAGTTATCCTCTCAGCTTACCATCCAACCAGTGCTGCAGATCGTTGCACCTCCTCCAAAGATACCGTGGACGGGCCACTGGCCGTCTTCTGTGATTCATGGTTTCCTTGCCTGACCTGTCAGTTCAAGCAGACACCCATGTCTCTCTAGCTGCGTCATACTTATTTCAGTCTTGGACAACTGATATAGCCAAGCTCTGTAAGATTCTGAAGACTTTGTAGGTTTATAAAACCTAGGCCTGCATTAAGTCTCTCCATAAACATATCTCTAAACGCTGATTTATACTCAGAAACCAGGTTGTCTGCATGTGTGTCACAGTTAACGCAAATGTGACCCCGGCCCTTCCGCAGGCACTCTACTACACCTCTCCAAAATTGTAGGTGACCGCAGACAGGAGGCATCTGATTGGTCCCTGCTCTTTTTTTGCCCTCATGTCTCTGTTATCACAAAAACTTGCCCTCATTTCCTCACCGCCTCGGCCATATCTAGACCCACAGCTAGTTTGTGATTGTCCCTTTTGCATTGTGGCGTGGAATAACACAGCCCAGACCACGCTTCAAAATTGGGCATAAAACAAAAATATGGGCGACAAGCTCACTGCGACACACTGCTGCAGGAGTATAACCAGCCCTTAACACATCAAGCATGTTCCTTAGTCTTTACAATAATTTAATCCTTTTTCTCCCAAAAATGCACTTGGACTTGGTTTATAAAAAGAAATCCTTTAAATATATCTGGTTGTGATTTGCATTTCCCCAACGTTAACATAAAAGCCACGTAACAGGGATGGCATAACCCTTAATGGTTACAATTTTGCTCAAAAAGAGAGATTTCAACCACAATCAATGTCATCTCAAAGGATTACTAAAGATTAGAAACTAAGAAGCATGTAGAACAAAACACAGGCAGCAGTACAAAATTTAAACACACATGGTTTAACTCTAACATAAAGCATGTGCTTGTCCTCTGCAGGATCTCTCCTATCGGTGGTAGAGTAAAGCCACAGTAGCAAAAACAGCCGCAAACATATTCAGAAGTTTGTCAAACATAGACCAGAACATTAGAAGTAATTGACATTTATACCACAGATAGTGAGATGTGACGTGTTAATGTCGAGACAGCTCTTATAAAGCCTGTGTGAATGAGAATAAAACATGGTGAAAGATTTGCTTAGGACTAGCATATGCCATTTGGAAAAGAGGAAATGAATAGAGCGTGGGTTTTACTGCAGGCAAATGGTTTCATTAAAACCTCAGAAACTACTATCAGTTGTGAAGTAGAGGTTAATAAGTCTCCCTTCCCCAAGAACGTATTTTATTTAATTTCCTATTTCGTTGTAGCTCTTCAGGCCAGAGGCTCCACCATCCGAGGGTCCCCATTACGTTAACAAGGCCTTCAGTGCTTACAGAGGAATCTACATTGAGAAGGAGGACTTACAGTTGGAGCTCAATAAACTGGTTGGTTTTCTTTTTTAATTAAAACTTTCACAAATTAGCTTTACATTTATATTGTTGTACAAAGAAAATTAACAATTATTACTTTTTTATTATTTGTTGGATTATTTTCCACTTACTTCTGATATGTGTGTCTGAACAGTGAGAACAGAAGTTTATATATTGAACCACAATACTGATAATTTGATGCGTTTTCTGTATCAGAAAAAGGAGAAGAGCGAGAGTGAGAAGCTGCTGACGGAGCAGCTCCAAGCCAAAGAGTTAGAGCTGCTTCAGCTGAGGACAGAGATGGAGACCACCCAAGGTACAGGTAGAGCACACAGGCCTGCTTTCTACTCCACACAGCTGAAGAAAACTGCAGACAACTCAACTTGCTTCACACAACGAAAAAACAAATATGTGCACTATTTAAACCTCTGTGTGCCTTTGAAAATTCGCTTATATGAGGCACACAATGGTATGTAAAGTCAACATGAGAGGATATAATGCAATTCTGCCCTGAATTTAACTTTTTATTTTCGAGAGGGTCAAGGGCAAGACAAATGTAAGCGAATGATATAGCCATCAGAAACACACTTTTTGCAGAACTCCCTCCTTGTGGAAACTGTGTTGAAATTACTCTGTGCACTTTTTTAAAGTACTTAAAAGTAAACACTTTTATTACACTTGAAAAGTGTTTGTTTTCTTCCAGTCAGATGGAAAATATCACAAATATTACAAGTATAAAATGTAATGCATGTAACTGCTGCTTTAAAACTACTTTAGACTCGACATTTTGATTGAGATTTTTTTAAGTTTAATCCCTTGCAGACACACTAATCCCTCAGTATTCTTCATTGTGCAATGATTATGAAGTACATAAACGTACCACAACTTCTAAAATCTTAAAACACTTTTCGTTTAGTGACGTCCGATCTGTTGTTCTTCTTTTCAGTGATGAAGAGTCTGAATAGCCCTCAGGACTGCTGGCAGGTGGAGAGAGTCGACACTGAGCTGCAGATCCGCAAGCTGAAGGAAGATCTAGAGAGGGTGATGCTAGAGAACAGCCGACTGCTGGAGAGAAGCACGGTGAGGGGAGGCAGAGGAGGGAGGTACAGGAGCAAAGAGGAGGTGGAAGTATAACAAAGAAAATAAATCCTGCAATTAAACAAAATAAAAGCAGCTCTAAAGGATGTGTGGCATTGGAGGAGAAAGATTGGATGTGATTTAAAAGAGTCAATGCTGAAAATAAGGACTAAAGAAGTAGAAGATCTAGACTGAAACATGGCTTAAGTTGGACAATTAATATTATGCTAAACGTTGCGCTAAACGTAACACTTATACTTTTAGTACTTTTACCAGACCATGATTCTGAGCTGCTGTTTCAGTAGCAGAATAAAGAATCCAAACGTTTCTGTTGTAATAGAGCTAAACAGTTTAGGTCTGCTTCAGTGTCTGGTATCTGCCATCCAGAGACTTTACAAAACATGGTATTCTGTTTTTTTCTATATTATGTGGCTTAAGGGCAGATTATACTTATGCAACCGCACACATCAAATGTCGCTTGGGTGTGGTCACAAACCATTTTTGTTGGTATGCTTCTGCACCGTCGGTCTGGAATTTCTAGGGACACACAACAGTTTCCCGTCAAAGCGCAAGGCGGAGCCTATTCAAGAACGCACGAGAACTTCGGCGTCCCCGGCGGGAGTGTTTATCTTCCAAAACAACAATGGCGCGTCTGCAAGATATCACAGTCAAGGGGATGTTTCTGAGTTGCTAGACATCGAAGAGGAACAGGTTCTGTTAATGGATTTGGAAAAAAGACCGATTAACCTTTCGCCTTAATTGTTCCTCGGTTTTTAAAAATGGCGTGCCCCGGCACCGAATCGAGAAGGACGACCACACAGACAGCCGCAAAAGGCATACCAAGGACCAGTAAGAGCTGCTTTTTGTCTGTGTTCTGCGTGGGTTTGAGACAATCCAACCTTTAGTCAGGATTTTTTTTAGGTGTGTGGCGACGGTTGCAGAACCTCTGCGCGGGGGGGGGGTTGGTCGCACAGAGACGGATATGACGGTTGCAGAGGCTATGCGTCAGAAGCATAAATTGGCCTTAATTGTCATTTTACTTTCCCTCCTTGTTTTCCATAAGCTGCATTAACCACTGAATTCCCCCGCTGCTCAATCAATAAAGTGTTCTTATCTTCTGTAACCATAAACCTTTGTTTCAGGAGGAATCACAGGGCCTTAATGGACCAGACTTGAACCAGACATGTGATGGAAAACATAGCGCAAGGTAGTGTATTTTTTTCTTATCACCAGAGAAAGTATGCTGTAAAACATTTATTAACATCATTTTAAAGTATGAAATAAGAATTGCATAAAGAATTATATAAAGTGCTTTGAACGTTGTTTTTTTTTCTCAAACCATTGAAATGTTTGCATAGGTATGTATTTATTGTGAATTTCATTTAATAAACAAACAGGAAGTTTTTTTTTTCTCCATTTAATTCCATTTATAAAACTCTGCATCAGTGACTATCTGTTAAAATATTTCATACTTGTGAAGTGAAGGCAAAAAGATATACATGGTTCTTAGACTGCTGTGTATACAATATGTATTCACCCAAACTTTTGAATCACCTGTTGTAACAGTTATTTCTACATCTGAAGAGAAAAATATCTTCTTCACAACACAGCGGAAGCTCAGACTGAATAATGTTTTGACTTTGACCTCCCATTGCTAATGAAATGCTTCACCATGATCCTCCTACCACTGTGCCGCACCCTGCGAATAGCGAGTTTAGGGTAATACTTAAGGTTAACCTTTCACCACCTAATTTTTTTGCATGTAAGCGAAAAATTTGAAAAATATTCCATCTGCTTTACAACTATGTGCTATTTTGTGTGGTTTCGTCACAAAACAAAATAGAAATATACACTGATCTCTGTTGTTACCATTGCAGAATGTCATAAAGTTGCATAATTCTAGTTGAATATTAACGCTGGATCTTTTCAGAAGGTTTTTTTTTGTTTTGAGAGTTGATTCTGCTTAAAAAAACAAAGATATATTCTGGTCAAGGTGCCGCTGGATTAGATGTATGTCAACTCTAAATCCACATCCTCCCCGAGTATTGTTCAAATAGGTGGTCAGTTTTAAGCTTTAAACTTAATAAAGTGCTGCAGAGTTTTGTAGAAAATAGGATTTTCTTAGCTTTCTTTTTCCTACCTGCGTTAAAATTGTCAACTTAGGTGAACTGAATTGTTTTAGCATTAATAAAATCTCACCTGCTCATGTTTTAGATGCCATGCAAACTCTGTTGCTCAACTCTTAAATAATATCTGAAATGAAATTTAAACTGTTGCTGTGTAGAATATGTATGGTTTACTCTCTTTTTTGATAAAATACCAGATAGATCCTTTTGTATACATGTATTGGGAGATAAAAAGTAATTAACATTAACCATTAATGCTGTACCTTTTTATAAGCTCTGCCATCAGCATGGAGTGTACTTGTCCTGTTTGTCCACTAGAGGATGGTGTAGCGTAATTCTGCATTTCATCTCATTCTGCAAAGCAGGCTGTTATTCATTTAAGGATTAAAGAAATGTAGTATTTCAGTACATAATAGCCTACATGTTTCTCCAACCTTTGGTTTTATTGTCTATATTAGCTTTGAATCCCCAATTTTATGTCCTCCGTTTTTTCTCACATGCTGGATTCAGAAAATGTGGAGATTTGGTTTCCAGAAGCAACAAAAAATGGCTAAAAAGGCTTAAATCTTTTCTTTTCAGTTGAACTATGTTGAATAGCTTATGATCATAGAAGTGCCTTTAAGAATAATTTGGTTTTTTTTTTCCCCATATAAAGTATCAAATCATTAAAAAAAATAGCCATGTGACAGCCTGCTAACTATTGTTTTGAGTTAATTAGCAGATTTTTAGGTATTAAAATTTGTATAATACCTCCACATATACAGATAAATATTTTGGGGAGTCGGGTTAATAAAAACAATAAATTATGCGACCGATAAAAACACCTGTTAGATTTTTGTTTGCTACCACAAAAACTCAGGATTCTTCATTTGTATTCCAATTTGACTTGAAACTCATGAAAACAATTACACAATTTCCTCCCTAATTGAGGGAAAACACCCATATTGTTTATTTTGAACAAATTGTAGCCTAATTGGGCTATTATATTAAGAATTAAACAAAAATAAAATTCTCTGCTTTAAGAATTGCTTCCAACCATTGTTTTATTTTTTGATTTTTTTTTTTAAAGAAAATAAAATTTAAAAAAAATTTATTTTCAGTTCAGATTCAAATTTTTAATAAAAAAAGGCCAAATATAATTATACCCATGGAAAGGTGCAATGTATCATAACCACCAGGCTACTTTATAGCATTTATTTATTTTTTGCTTTTTTGATCATCTTGCTCCCTGTTGATAACGATCAGAGGAAATTCAGCTCCGCTATTATTATTGTTTTTTTTTTAACTAATATGTTTTTTTGATGTTTAAAGTTATAACTTTGAAATAAGAGGTGACAAGATGGTGATAATCAAAAGGGAAGAGACCAGCTGAAGTGTTCATTGCAGGCATGCAGCAAATCTAGCACTCCTCACACCTTCTTAAGATTGACAACCTTTCATAATGTTCCTAGTTGTCATTTTCAAAACAACTGAGCATTTTATTGTTCTTGAAAATGTTTCAACTCTTTCAGTTTCAGGGTTAAGTTTTGACTCAGCAGTGCTCTCAGGATGATATGTTGTCACTTTTCGTCTATTTAATAAAGATAACGCACACTTTCTTTTTGGTTGGTTACTTTAGATGGCTTCTGTTATTTCACTCTAATATTGTCTTTATGTCTAAAAATCGCACATTGTGACATGATGTAGGACAGCTGAGTGTCCTCTGAGCTACAGCATGTCTTTAATAAGTTATTGTATGTTTCTATGTAGCTGTAAGGACTGTTTTATGTATCAGGCAACCTCATTGTTGAGAAACTCTTAAAAAAAGCACATCTAAATCATCTTTTAAAAATAAGAAAATGCTTTGATGTCATCTCACCGCTCAAAGCGCTCAAAGACAAGAAACCCCGATTTTTCTTTCTTAACAAGAATAGGGGGATTAGGGAAAGGTTATTTAGCTAATAAGACCTTCATTTTCATCTTTAGATCTCAAACCAGAAAAAAAACAATTATTTTATATAATATCAGTATAGCTGCATGTATATTTTTCCAAATTTCAACACTGTCATTTTTGAAATGGTTATATTATTTAACTAACTCATTGGGAAAAGAGAACAAATAAGGTGAGGACACAAGAAGGATAGGCAGAGGCTTCTTGTAAAGTCTGTGTTACTTTTAAGTCTAATAAAAGCAGAAATGTATGCATTATTTTAGAAAAAAATCAATTTTTTTATTTCATTTTAAATACATTTCAATTGGTTAACACCATCTAAAGTTAGTTTAGAAGAGTAGTGGCCTAGTGGTTAGAGCATTGTGCTTGGGTTGTGGAGGTTCTGAGTTCAAGTCCCACTTATTCCCACAGACTGATACTCTGGGTCCCTGAACAAGACCCTTAACCCCCACGCTGCCCAAAAATGTCAGCCCACTGCTCCCCAAGGGGATGGGTTAAATGCAAAGAGTGAATTTCCCCATTGTGGGACAATAAAGGGATTTGCATTTACATTTCCTGAAGTTGCAACACGCTTTTATGAATAACCAACACTCTTAAGGTTTTCAATATTAAACATGTTTGAATAATTATGTAAAAAAAAATTGGCACATATAGAAATCTTTATTTGACTTTTTAAGCATCAAACATTAAAAAACATCTTGTTTTTCTTTTAAAGACACCCTAATCATATTCCTAATTTTTAGCTTTTTTTTAGTTTTATGTGTAGGTGAGGAATAGTGTTAGCTCAGAATCTCCAAACTGTAAGTAAAAAACTGAACTGATGCTGGAAGGTAATTATTGCGAGTCCCATTGGTGGCAGAGTCCTTCTGCAGAGATACAGTTATCAATGAGAGGATAGTCAGACAGCAGACTGCATGAGTAATTTAATTTAGGCTTTCTGCACTGATTTTTTTCTAATCATATTCCTCCTTTTAAGGCCACTTTAAATGCATTATTTTCTATAAATAAGGATCTTTTAATTTGCAAAAAGGTTTTCCTGTTTTTTTTTTTTCATCAGCAAACAGTGAACTAGATGCCTGCTTTGCTCTGGATGTTACTAACACCAGTGTGTGATTTAACCTGAGCGTCCCATTTGGTCCATAGGGAGAAAAGCATCCAGCAGACGTATACAGCTTTGCGCTCTGAGGTCACCCGTCTCCATTTAGAGCTGAGGCACCAGACAAGCCTGATCGGGAAGCTCAGGCCGCTGATCGGTGAAACAAGACAAGGTGAGCGTCTACCACCTGAAGCAGACTTTTATTCAGACCATTTCATGTTAGATTCTGTTTTTAATGTGATGCACATGTGATCTTCTACATGTCTGCTCACCTGCATTCATTTTGACACCACCTGCAGTGTTGCAGCCCTCCCTCTTAAGAGAGGATTAGCTCAGCCTTTAAACTGAGAATGAAATTAAAGCGTTTAAGGGCCACAGGCGCGAGTGAATGGACATCTTTACTGTTCAACTTAAAATTCATCCTGTTTTCTATTTCCTCAAACACCCAAAGCATTGTAGAGGTTTTAAAAAATGCCCCAAAAAATATGAAAGCCATGATACAAAATAATGATTAGGTTAATTATTAATTCAAATGTTTAGTTTTTCAGTGTTTAATAATAAAGTAAGCATTAGAAAAGTAGATGATCGGATATTTTAAAGTTTGAGATATTTTGCTCTCACAAAAAAAAAAAAAATCAAAGAAACCCTGTCAGTGTTGCATCTGTCTTATTTTTGTATTTTTTTTAAAGGTTTTGCTCGCTGAAAAGCAGGCTGCTTCTTCTTTCAGTTTCTGCAGAGGTGTCATAAGACATGCGATATCCCCTCAAACCACCGAAACACTTTAATACAGGCATTATGAGGTGGTTTGTTCCCCCGTTCCCCTCCTTCCAGGGCCGTGCACGCTGCCTGCTGTCACTACCTCTGTTGTGGCGTGTCAGAAGAGGCCATGAGGTGAAAATTAGAACGAAATTCAGCAGGAAAATAAACCTTGCTCTATTTATTCCACTGAATAATCCTGTGGCTCGGATGAGGCAGGCGGAGTGAAAGAGGCGAAAAAGACAGAAGGGGGAGGAGAGTGTTCTGTGTTATTTATTCACTCATTCTGTGCATCTGTATTCTTCTAATGTTCCTCCTTTGGAATCACTTTTATTCAAATCCTAGACTCAGGAGACCATCTCATGGCAGCATAGCAGGGCAGAGATGGATGGATATATGATGTGTGGATGGAGAGAGGTATGGTAAAATTAATAAAGTAACACAGAGTCTCATTCAAAGCTCAATCTTTGCCTAAGGTGGTGATTTGAAATCAAAGCCGTGGTGCGAGTTTCAGATTAGGATCTGATTTGTGTATGGAAACAGAATTTGTCTTTGTTTATGCAGAGAGGTAGGTCTACTGATGCTTTTTTTAAAGAATGAAATATTTATAGACTCTCTACAGCAGATATTTCACAGTAAATTCTTCTGTATAGTTCCTGATATTGTAATGATTTGCTCTCCCTCATAAATTTATTTCACCTCCTTTTTAATAAAGTCCTACCAGTTACTCCAAAGAAAAATAGTTTAAAGCAAAAACAGGAAATATTAAATAAATTTTAATTTAAAAATATATACAAAAAGTTAAATTTTGACTGTGTCAAATTCTGTGGATACAGCTTAAAGTTTTAGTGATGTTACTATGTTGATGAATTTTTTTTTTTTGTTCTGTATTCAACAAGTAAATAATAGATAGGTCTAAATATGCCCAGACTAATTAAGTCTTTTTAATAATTTGGTCCTAATTCCTTGTTATAAAGTTTGCAACTGCTTACAACATCATCATAAGCAGATGATGATAATAATCATAATGATTTTAACGATGATGATTAAAATCACCATCACTGTGATTTTAGTGTGAACTTCCTCAATTTTTGAAAACAGCAGCTTTAAACAGATCAAGAATTGGGTGCAAATGTTTGTTTATTGAGGATTTTCTCAAATCAACACAGGATCAGAGGTTTACATCTGGATACCAATAGAAACATACACCCACAATAATAATTTACCTTGCTTTTAATGGATTTTAGAGAAACTACACTGTTTAGATAGTTATTAATGGTTTATTTCAGATTGATATTTTTAAAACATTCACTGCTGCTTCCTGTTCCAGAACTTGTTGTTAATCTGCTTTACACATGAAGCAGTTTTAATGTGTAGGAGAAGCTTTAACTTTTTGAAACGGTAAGTTGAGGCAGATGAGCCTACTTTAAAGTAAAGTTGGAGAATTTTACAAGGATCCGCCTTCTTCGTCGTTCTGTCCACTTTTTACAAAACATGCCATCATTTGCCCCACATCAAATCAGGCTAATGTTGCCATTTCCATCTTTGACAAAGTGTATGCTTGTATTTTACCCATTCTATAGATTTTAGTGTGTGGTAATACAGAAGTTCATTAAGCTAATTCTATGCTAGGTCTAATTTGTGTTGCTCTATATTGATTGTTATTCAACTTAGGGTTCAGTGCCTTGCCACAGGCACATCCTTACCTTTAGATTCCTGCATGGACAGGCTCCCTCTTACATTTGCGACTTGATGCAGCCTCACTTTTCTGCTTGCAGTCTGAGATCTGGTGAAGAGCTTGTTAATGGTCCCTCGAACCCGTTTAAGAACAAGAGGTGATAGGTCCTTCCAAGCTGTCGCACTCAGACTGTGGAATGCGCCACCACTTTACCTGCCCTGGGTGAACTCCATTGATGATTTTAAAAAAACAAATAAAAACATTCTTTTTTTAATCAAGCATTTTAGACTCATTTTATTAAGGGCTACTATGACTATTTATTTTTTTCTACATGTATTTTTTATGTTTCTTTTTTGTATTTTATGCCTCATGCTATGATTGTATTTATTTTGCCTATATGAATTTTATATGATCCTGCTTTGTATTCTACCTCATATTGTACAGCACTTGTCTGAGAAAGTTGCTAAATAAATAAACCTTACTTAATTACTACTTAATTATTTGTGAGGAAAGAAAATCCACAATAATCAAACTCTGAACCTTATTCTTGTTTTATGGGTGTTTTTTATGCTACTATGCAAAAAAATACATTTCAAAGGCCTTATCAAAGCTTTATTTAATCATTTTATTATAATTAATTATAGCCATAATATCTGTATGTAAAGGGCTGTATGCCAATAGTCAATGTTTGTATAGAACAAAAAAAATCCACAAAACATGATGATTAAATCAGAGTGAGTGCTTTTCAAAAGAGCTCAGAAAACATCATTGCTTTAGATTTTTGTTTCCATTCATAACGTCGCCACCATCTCTGTGATTTTATGTTCTTAGATGTAAAAAGTATTTTTTCATCCCTAAATCCTTATTTTTTCTCTTACACCCGTATCTCTCCATATCTCTTTGCCTTCAGCAGCTTCGACTGTTCCAGTTCAGTGTCTGGACGACGTGGAAAAGAACAATAACCTCACAGTTATTCGGGCTCCAGTGCCTCGCCCCCCCAGTGCCCCGCCGGTCCCCTCCTGTTCCGGCCGTCCTCTCCCCGCTATTGGTGGCCCAGCAGGCCCCCCTCTGCCAGACAGCCTGAGGGAGGACTGCTGGTACAACGGGCCTTGGCCCTCCCAGAGCTGTCTGGTGGAGGCACTGGTCGGCAGTGAGACCTGCGCCGTTGTGCTGCCTCCGCCCCCCCTGAACCAAGCCTCTCTGGACGACAGCTCACGCTCCTTCCCCAGCCCCCCCAAGCCCACTGATGCCATGTTCTGGGAGGGACACTCGAGTACATCCAACACGTCATCCTCGCTGGGAAACTTCACTCCAATGAGCCCTCCTAATGCTGAGTGGGCCAAGCCGTATTAATTAAACCCATAAGAATTAAGATGATGGAAAACAAAGTAGAGACTAAGTCTTTAGCTCGGCCACATAGCTACCACCTTACCTGCCTTAAGCTGATTAACCACTAATCAGTGGTGAACTTGATCGGACCTGCTTCTTGTGGGAACTAAATGAGGCCAAAGGAGGCCTTTTTGAGGTAAAAACTGTTCTCTGCACGCCGCATCGGTGAACATATCCAACTTTGTAGAGAAAAAGCTGACCCTTAAAAAAAATCCAACTCATATCTCCATTTGAATGTGTCCTTGTATGCACATGCATTGGTCTGTGCAGGCATGCATACAGGCAGTTTAATTTGAGTGTTTGTTGGTGTAAATGCACATGATTCAATGTGCCTGTGAATGCAAAAAATCGGCGTGTAGGGATCTTCCACTTGCTTTTATCTGTGTATCATGGTGATAAACCCAACGGGGCTCACAGCTGACTCTTTCTCCATAAGCCGTGGCCCAGGAGCACGAGAGCCACAACACACCAGTAGAGTTTGAATAACTGTACCTCCACAACGCAATTTCTTTTTTTTTCTTCTTTACATTGGATCAATGTAAATTGTATAAGGTGTGTAGCCCCCGCTTGTCTCATTGTGTTATGAAGGATATGTGTAGGAATATAGGCTTTTGTACAGTGATGGGGACAGATGTACATTTTTGTTCCCAATTTCAGCATTTACCAAATTAAAACTGACCTGTTTGCCTCGAGAAATTGTTTTTATTTAAGGCCTTAGACATATTTTTAATGATCATGCATACTGCATTTCTGTGGAGATATTACTTATCGAGAGCAAAATACTTAATAAAATGTGTATCCTGCCTGTTGAGATTGAATTCTCAGCCGTACCGTGAACGTAGAGCTCTAATGGGTTATCTACTAATGACCCACATTCCCTCCTCTTCGGTTTTAAAGGGCATATATCATCATTTTTACTTTTTCTTTCAGTTGTGTTCAGCGCTGTTGAATATCTCAAGGCATCAGTTCACTCAAAGCTAAAGTAGTGATGGTAAAACCGCAGCTCAATTTTGAGCAAAGTGATTTACATGGTGGTTTATCCAATGAGATTGAGAAAATAATGACGAATGTTATGAAATGAGTTGCCCGGAGACCTATTAAACCAGCACCCTACCCAGGAATTTAAAAGCAGTTGTAAACTCGATCCACTTGTTATTCACTACACACTGTTAAATTGCAGCTTGTAACAAAAACTGCAATTCGAAACACTAAATTTATGCAAGTATTAACTTTAATTTGACTTATTCTAAGATGGAATCGGGCTCTGGTTTTGGCTAACCTTGGTATTTTCAAAATAACCCTGCATGAAAGCCTTGCAGTGGTTGTCAAGCACTACCGTTTTCCATATTACTGGTCTGTTTTTCTTTTTCATACAGCAGCCAAAACCTTATCCCAGCTACACAGTTGATGCTAAAGCTAATAACTGTGGCTAAAGATACTTTTTAGACAGAGACAGTGGTCAAATATTTCAATTGATTTGCCAAAATCAACCAACATGTGCTGAAGGAGGGCACAAAATAGAAGATCTACCATTTGAGAAAGTATATCCTGACTTTTTGATCAACCTTATACTCATAAATACCAGGCTGTGTTTTCTATTAGGGTCTGGTTGTTTTACTCCCTCTTTTTTTAATCAGGTTTAATTTTTATTTTTTTATTATTGATCATGCATCCTGTTTCCACATATTCCATTTTTTTAACAGCAGATCCCTATGCTCAGCAACAGTGTATAAGACAGGGAGGAGCAGACTTCATCACCCACATGTGTTTCTTAATTAACTTCCAGTTTATTTAAAAAGGCATGAATGTAAAGGCTTTTTTAGTGCGTTTAATTCATTTCATGCTTTGAAACACTGTAAAGGCTGAAAGTGGTTTACTTCTCTTACTTTAAACATGTTTAATGCTATAACTTAATGATGATATTTGCCCTTTAATATCTGATAAAAGCTTAGATGAGCTTTGTGAATATTTTGAAAAATAGAAAGTGTATAATTTTAGCACTGTGCTAATGTTAATGTTGCTGTTTAAATTAAAAGACAGGTGTGGAGGCGATTTTTATGGGACAGATGAGATTTAAAAGGTGTACAAATGCTGACATGGGAATACCCAAACCAGAATGTGCATATCTGTATAAATGTAAATGGTGGGCTTCAGTATTTTTGCCATATGTGATTCTGCACTCCATTATTCTTTTTTTTTTACTGCTGTTTCCTCCCTGGATACCACTTCTAATTTGATTGAGAAAAAAAGGGCACAAATGCCCAAACTGTTAAAAAGATTGCTTTTCTTTGATTTTTTGCTATTTTGGTTCCTTAATTTTTAATGAAATGTTGTTTTACAGCTGTACTTTCATACTTCTGGAAACAATTTGCAAACCAAAATGCAATGTATAGTAGATATTGATTATATTTTAGACTTACCGCACTTCAGACTGTTTGTAAATATAATTAAATAAAGAAGCTGTGTTAGCAGCAGGCACTGGTGAGTTAAGCTGCTACTATGCTGAAGACATCTAAAGACATAAAAGGTGTCCTTTTTTAAATAATGCTTCATGTTTATACCTTTCATTCTGTCAAAGAAATTTCGTTGTAGAACTGCATCTCTAATGAGATATTGAATGTATGAAAGCTCAACTCTGCACTCTTTAGGTGCATGAACCCTACCACACAGTAATACCACATTGTGCAATTTCTACACGTGGCCATTGACAATTTTGCAGCACTCTTACTGTAGTCATGTTCTTACCTCCTTACAAGGAAGTAAATTTCTCAGAAAGATCACAGAAATGTATATTGCTTTTCTACCACATTTATACATACATTAGGATTTTAAGTGTCAAAACAAAACAAAGCACAGAATTGTTGTAAATGAAAAATTATCCATAGTTTTAATTTGTATTCATCCTTTTCGAGTCAATACTAGAACTGCCTTTTTTTTCTTGAAGGAATATATCTGCTGTTTTTACGAGAGGGACTCAAATATTCTGTTCAGCTTTGCAAAATGTTGCTTAGGCTCCACTTGGGTTGTTGGACAGCAGCAATTTTCAGCTCTTCCCACCGATTTCTTGATTGAATTTAGGTCTTGACTTTCACCACTTGATCATGCTTTGTTGTTAATCGTACATTTTTACCATCTGAGCTTTAGATCTCTGAAGTTTATACAGATTTACTGTCAACCATCAGCTGATTCTCTATTGCTCATATTGCCCAGCATTTCTATACAGTTGACTTATAAGTATACCAGTACTTAATAAGTAATATTTTTAAAGTTTGACATTGATTTCAAGTCCCACTCTATAATAGACTTAGATATATCTTAGTAAGCTGTGTAAAAATAAAAAAAAAATTACCTTTCTTAGTTTTTTTCAAAAGAATTAAGACAAGCATAACATACAAGAGTAAAGCACTACAGCCAGGGAAGTTGAAACATGTTACACTGATAAGTTATGGGTAGATTCAGTTCATGAAATTCTGTCTTGGAGTCTCTGATACAATCAACATGTTTAGTCACTTTTACTTGTTTTTTCTTTCCGGTTTTGTGTCCATTTTCAAACTTCCCTTCAGTCCATCTTTAAGTACCGGTAATAGTGGGCCAAGAAATGCATAGGGCTTTTTTATTAGATTCATTTACCAAATTGAAGTGCTGCGTTGCATTAGGTTGTGTTTTTTATACACCATGAGTCTCATTTTAGGTTAGCAATGGTTCACAATAAATCATTAAGCAATACAAATATTTCTTTAATCAAAGATTGTTATTCAGTATCAGTTCAGCACTTTTGGTTCCTTTAAAACTTTGAGCAATCTGTCCAAGTACTAATGTAAAAATATCTTGGGTTTCTTGACATTCAAATAATTTCCTTTAGGATTTTCTGTCTTTATGTCCAAGACCAACTTTGTTTTATTTTATAGCAAATACACAATTTAAACTATTATTTTTCCAAATTCTATTTTTATTGACATATCACAACAATCAAAACAATTCTTATACTTGATTTTAAAGTAATGTCAGATAATCAGCTGAACCCACATTCCAAGTTCCAGAGAATGAAACACCTATTTAAATAACAGATTTGGAATATTACAAAGGGATTTGTAATATTGATAAACTAAATAAAATATGAGATCATCTCACCTTAGCATGTGGAGTTTACCAAGAATAGTACATTCAAGTACCTTTTTCTAAAGCAAATTTTTTTTTTTTTTTTACCAGAGTAATGAAAACTCAAACTCTGCTCAGGTCAGACTGATTTATGATCATTGTTTCTTTAAGTTTTTAATCCCATCAAACCTGCTGACACTTCTTTCTGAAGAACTTTCTGCAGCCATAATATATTATTTTACCAATTATTTTTATGGAAAACATTTTATTGTTTTATATAGATTAAAAGGAGTTGTTTCAAGCTTTTCACTTGATTATATTCAAATATTCTGGTCATTTTTAAAAGCTACGAGGCCAAAACAATAAAGCAAAGATCTTGATACTGCTCATGCAGTTAAATCAAACCAAATGCCTCCAATTAGTTAAGCATCCAGCCAAGCGCTGTAGTCTGAAATCCATCAGGAGTGACGATGACTTCTCCATGGAACCCCTTCTTCCCTTTCAGACGTGGACGGGTCAGGAAGTAGCATCACTTGAACATTAGCTGCTCTTGAAAACCAAATAATTGCTAAATAGCTCAAAGACTTTCACATAACAGTCTTGTAAGTGTATAAAGAATCAACTTGGCCAGACTGTCTCTTTATTATACAGAGTTTAGGTCTGGAACCACAATGATAGACATCTGGTTGTTGTACATATTACATGCTGGTTGGAAGTTTCTGGGTTCTGTTCTTGGCAGGGATTCCAGTCCTCTCAAATTCCTGTTTCTCTTGAATGTACAGTCGCTTGCATTCTTCAAAAAAATTTGGATCCTGATAGCTGGTGGAGGACAGAAGGTACAGAATCAGCAGCCTGACAAGCAATCGGAGGAGTTTAGGAATACTGAGATATAACAGGGAACAGTGGTTGTAGTAGTGGGCAGTTCAAAATACTCACTGCTGTGTCAGGCAGTCCTTCAGCGCTGAGTTTTGCTCCTGACACTTAAACACCATTAAGAAGCCGGACTCTTTGCAGCAGCTGTTGAAGGCTGGAGGGAGAAGAAGATGTTAAGAAAACAACAAATAGTAGAAACCCATAAACCAACAGGCCAAATATTAAAGGAAAGCATTTTGTTCTCCAGTAAAAGCATCAATGCACTCTTATAAATGTAACCAAATTCCCATACATTACATTTGATATAAAACTATTTACTTTGTCAAAGAACCTGCAGTGTACTTTTCCTCTTAAGGTTTACACACATCAGTAAAAAAATTGAACTGAAGCACAGCAAAAAAAAAAAAATAAATTAATACAAATATCAAATCAAAGTTTATGCCTGTAAGATGCTTTGATTAAAATTATATAGATCTCCTCATTGCACTGACCTAAAGAGAGTTGTACAAAATGTGTACAACTTATGGTGACGTTATTCTTCACAACTAACCAACGCTTGACTATAGACAATATTTAGGGTCTTGGCTGCTACAATTTCCACCAGATCTGGGTGTAAAGGACAGAGAATGTTAATCCTACAGGGCAAAAAAAAAAAAAAAACATAGCCAATCTAATACTGCTTCAGAACAGCCCTTTGCAATGGGAAAATTGCACATTAAAACAGTGATCATTAGGATTCTAAATATTGTGCAGCTCTGATTTGATCCATAATCAAGCAGCCCTAGATGACACTTAAGCAAGTCCTTCAGGGATGCAGCACAGCTAATGTCAGCCTCCTCTCAGCTGACATTAAAGCCGACTGGAAGGTGTGGAAGAGCGAGTCTTCACCTTGTTAGCAAGTTGTTTCTCCGGGGTTTAATTGAGAGGACTGCCCTCACATCTTATCACTGTATGGTTATCAGACACTTTCATCAGGATGCAAATGTTAACAAAAAAAGCAAAGAAAAAAAAAATCATAGCTGAAAAACCAATTTAGAGAAGCAGAGGAGCGCGACTAATCTAATCAAGCGACGCCTCATCCCGTCCCGTGGCTCTGATGGAGGCTGCCGAGGGTTTCTTCTCTGACCGCAAAGCAGCAACTACAGTCACAAAGCTAAAGGCTAGTTTATTGTCAGAGGAAGATGATCTGAACAAACGTGCAAAGACACCTTCACAACTGACTGCTGGGGTTCACAGTTATTGAGACAAAAATAGTTGTGTGGCAGTTGGTGTGAAGTTGAAGCAACACATTTGGGAGCTTAAAAAAAAAAAAAAGATTAAATGATTCCTAAAAATGAATGAAATGTTTAATTATTTATTGAGTACGCTAAATGACTGGTGAAGCAAGGTGGAGGTTGTGTTATACTGTGGGCCTGGCATTAAAAGCTTTTTGAAAGGCACTAAGATGAGTCATTTTTACTATATTGGCAGAGGCATTTGTATCAGCATATTATGACATGGACTCTAATAAGATTCCAGGCTATTTAGGATTTTAAAAAATCCACAGAAAAACTTTTTTTTTTTTTTTTTTACCTTTTGTTTATTTTGCTGAATACATTAACCTCTCTATTTAGGGTTGCCATTGGCTGTAAAGTGTTCCAGGTACTGCATAAACAAAACTAAAGATTTTAAGACAGATTTACCTACTGGAATTAAAATTAAATGCAGAGAAAATATCTTTTTTTTCTCTATGATTTTAATATTTCAGGGGAAAAAAGGTAAGAATATAAAATTAATTAACATAAAACATCCAAATAGCAATGGCTGATAGAAAGAAACTAAAATTGTGCAGCCTGGATGATTTATTTTTTTTTTTTACACGAGAGAGAACTGACGTGAATCATCAACAGTGGGAACAATCATATCACGTCTCTCTACAAAAGAATCTGTAGAGGTCAGTGGGACTTGTCTGAAGTGCAAGCTGCAGAGGCATACATGCAGAAACAGATAACACAGGAAAACATACTTGTTACTTGTGTTTTTCATTTTTTTTCTCCTTTCTATATTTCAAACAGACAAATTCAGAAGCTAAGAGAAGACAAAAAAAAGAGCACGAGAGGGCGGAGGATGAAGGTGTGAAGAATGAGTGAGAAGAGAAGCTTGTAATGTAATGGGGGTTTCCACTCACACGCAGCCACTGTCTGTCCCATCACCTCCGCCTGTGCATGTGCACGGACTCCCTCTGAGAGCAGCACCGCGCCAGCTCATGCAGGCTGTCGTCGGATTTCTACAAACCACAGTATAACAGTCCCTATGTGTTTGATGTGTTGCTGCAGGCGAGTGGGCACACAACAGCAAGGCTGTGGCCACTACTCCTATGCTGACACAAGGTTAACAGCTGCCAGGTGAACTGGCTAAACTCTCAACTGAGGAAGCTGTAGGTGACCCGGGATGCATTGGCTTGTTTTGAGCAGCCACCACAAAGGCCTTAGGCCCCGTCCACACGAAGTCAAACCCTGGCCTAAACGCACAAATTTTTCACCAAACCAGCCTCTCATCCACACGAAGCCGGCGTTTCGGGGTTCTGTAAACGATCTTTTTTTTTATTAAGCCTTCAGAGTGGGAAGATTTTTAAAACGCCGTTTTCGCGTTTCCATCTTTAAGCTCTAACCGCATATTTTTTTTTACAAGCATGCGTCATAGCGTCGCCTCTAAACACGCATGCGCGACACAGTATCACAACAACAATGGCGCCGTACTGTGTTGAATGGTTGCTGCTCATGCTACTCACCCTGCTGTCGGGCTTACAACAGAATCTTCTTCTTCTGGAATATCTCCAGGAAGAACAGAGCAATATCGACGACATAGTTCAGCACCTGAATTTGACTGAACCACGAAAATGGACCCGCAGGGCAACCATGTATAAATATTAGTGCGCATGCCCAACATTTCGTCGCCTATTTTTGCTTTGGCACCACAGCGCCACTTACAGGCCTGGCATACATTTTGCAGCGTTTTCATGCATTCGTGTGGACGCTCACATTTATTTTACGTCTCCGTCTTTACGACAAACGTTCTGGAAAATATTAGCGTTTCGTGTAGCGTTTTGACTTCGTGTGGACGGGGCCTTAGAGCTGTTTCATAAAATCAGAATGTAGGAGTCCAGGGTAAGAGATAAAGCCAGGCTTGAGCTTGCATGATTAGTGTATCCTGGCTTTCACAAGCACAGCTGATTATGATGATTGCAGTTGAGCAAAAACCTGTTAATCAGCTTTCAGTTAAATCAGCTGTGCTTGAGCAAGGAAACCTCTAAAACCTGCTGGAGGCGGCCCTCGAGGACCCACTTTGGGGATGCCTGGTTTAAATACTTCTTGAAGGAAAGGGATTTTTATGTGTCGACAGAGAACTTTAAACCAAACAAAAATTATATTAATCACATTGGGGGGTTCCTCAAGACTCCATTTCAGTACCCCTCCTTTTCTTTCTTTTTTTTCGAGATTTTGCGGCACTAGTGGCTCACTTTTTTGACAGTAGGCTGACAGGAAAGGGGGTATGAGAGAGAGGGAAGAGACGTGCAGCAAAGGACCGGATTCGAACCCGGGTCGGCCGCGGCGAGGATTAAGGCCTCCGTACATGGGTCGTGTGCGCTAACCACTGTGCCACCTGCACGCCCAGTGCCCCTCCTTTTCAACAAATGAATTCTCCACATCCCTCGGATTATAGCAAACAGGATCAGTCACCATAACCAAGTAGACATACAGCTTTACATCACAATGTCACTGCGTGACTATGAACCCATCAGAGAGTTGGATAGATATTTAGAACAGATCCATATATGGATGCGACATAATTGTCTCCAACGGAATAAAAAAAAAAACTTAAGTAATAATATTTTGACGAAAGGAGGTGAGATCCAGAATTAGCTCACAGCTTCAGCTACTACAGCTAGAAACCACTGATTATGGTCAAACTCTTCATGTCATAATGGACTAAACAGTAGAGATGCACCTATCCAATACCTGGATCCAATATTGACTAATTAGCTGGATCGGTTATTGGTGATTTGATATCAAATATCCAATCCAGTGAACTTTATATGGAATTGTTATTCATTTCTTTTTGTTACTCATTTGTTAATAAATAATATAACGTTCACATATATCTGTATTTATTTGTTACATTTTTTATTTTTTTTTTAGTAAAGGCTAAAGCCTCCATTCACATGGCAAGATATATGGTTCATTTACTCACCAGTTGAATCAGATCTGTATCTGATAGAAGCCGATACAGAGGCAGCCCATATATCATAATGTATTGGAAAAGACTGGACTGGTGCATCTCTACATAGAGATAGTTACAAAATCAGCCTTTTACCACCTGAAGAACATTTCCAGGATCAAAGGACTCGTGTCCAAGCTGGACCTAGAAAACCTCATCTATGCATTTATCTTTGCTATAATTTGCTATATCTTTTGCTTCCTACAGAAAGGCTTTGGTTGAGTAAAGCGCTGTAGGTACCAGATCTGCTCGGGTCCTGCGCATTCCAGTGACGTTGCGCTACATGAATGGCTGAACAAATTGCACATGATGTAAAACATATTTGTTGCCCAGACAACGATAATAACATCACGCAGCGTCCTTTAGCGTGTTGAATGACCAATGAAGTTTTACCTGATCAATAACAACACTGAAAAACAAATCTGGTTTTGGTGAACAAAGTAACTGCAAGACTCTGTTATGAAGGGGGAGAGCTGGGTAGCGCTGTAGCTAGCTGTGCTCAGTAGCTAACAGGTTAGTCTCTTTTAGCACAGGCAGTTAGCCATATTAAGCTACACTACTTTTGAATTTGTATCAAAAACAACCGCTCGTTTTCTACATGTAGAATAACGAAAGCCATTTTTTAGGATGTTCCATTTGTGCTTTCCTGCCATCAGATCTTAATAAAAAGAATAAAAATAAATGTGACATTTTGTGTCACCTTGTTACCGTAAATGGTAGAGCTCAGTCTGTCTAAGAAAGGCAGTACTTTCCTTCAAGACTGACAATTATTGTTTTCTACTTTCGGCTACTTTAGATCGCCAATGAAATGTAAAATAATAGCAAATATAAGTAATAATATGATGAAACTCCAAAAGATATTTTATCCTTAAGAAACGGGTGCAATCCAGTTTGTCCAAGGGGAGTTGCCATATGTTGACGTCATAAGAAGGGGCCGGGCCCCAAGCAGATCTAACCACCCGAGCAGATCTGGTACCTACTATAGCCTGATAAACCAGACTAAATATGAGATTAAATGTGTAATTTAGTCTGGCCCGGATGAATGAGACATCAGAAGATTGTTGATGAGAACAACCTATTTCAAACCATGTCTATGCCTATTGGCCAACGCTCTGACCAATGAGTGCAACCGAATGTGACGTAGGAAGCGCTGGAGAAAGCTGGTGGGGGAGTGTAAACAAACAACAACAGTCAAAACACATCTCTGTGTTGTGATTGGCCCGCCAGTTCTAGGGCCTGGGGCACTGATTGAGGCTAGACCACTCACAGGCAAAAATTATTTTGGCCGCTGGCGGGTGGGGCTAGTTTACTAGACTAAGTACCTCTTTTTGTCAGGGTTATTTTCCAGGGTTTGATTTACGCTAAGATGAGCTTGTTTAGATTGACTTGGTTGGTTTATTTTATTTTGGTTTGCTTAGTTTAACGCTGTACATTGCCCCAAATTCGAACTGACATGAAGATTTTACTGACTCCACAAGCTACCATTTATAAATCCTTTTCTTGCCCCCTCTAAAAAAAAAGTCTGAGGCTTTACATAAAACATAGAATTAAATGCAATGTTGGATTGATAGTTTGTAGACATGTCTGAAGGTTACAACTAACCATAAAGGAATTTCATGTTTATTCCAACTAAAGTTATAGTGATAATTTATAGTGTCCAACTGAAGGCCAGAGATTATTCCAATTGAGAAACAGTTTGGAAGTGAAAGGTTTTGTTGATAAGAAGCAGGGCGTTTAACCTCCATAACCTGGGGTTCATCTCCAATAACATTAATGAAGAGATGCAAACAGCTGGTAAGAAGATTTATTTTAATCAGGGTTTATATAGGAATGAGTAATTTAATGGTTTTCAATGGTCTTTTAATGCTCTTAGAAACAATTTAATGCCATAAACAAGTACCCATGACTCTCATATATATATATATATATATATATATATATATATATATATATATAAAAACACGGCAAAATCCTTTGTCATCTTTTCCGGCAACAGGCTGCAGCTGTGTTCCGAATTCCTTGTCTTCCTGCACTTTTGTTGAAATTTGCATTTTCCCATTCCCTAGCCTTTTCTCCGCCTCAAGCTTCTTTTCCGAATATACAGCTTTACGATCAACCAGAAGCAGATCCCCACAAACATGCAAAACCAGTTATATCTGAAGAAATAGTTTTTTATAAACCTTTTCTTTTCTTTTTTTAAAGCATTTTGAATGCCACAATAATCACATTTAATGGATTTTAATTCCAATTAAGGCCTTAATTTAAAAAATAATAATGTAATAACTTTTAATGATTTTTAATGACCCACAGAAACCCTGTTAATGGTGCAGATTATAGAGAAGGGCATAAATCATACTGCACATGCTTTTCTTTGATGGATTTGGATACATTTAGATCAGAATCTTCCAGTGGTGTGAATTCTTTTTAACCTATAGCTGCATTTATTCCAGAGGAAAATGCATGACTGGTTATTTTCTGTTTGCACCAACAGTTATAAAAGTATTCGGTGTATACAAAATTCGGTGTAATTTCCACAGTACCTTAATGTATGAAAAGGACAACTGATTTTGTTCTAAATGCAGACAGATCAGTTGTTCTGTCTCTCATGAACACAAACCTTCCACTCTGTCAGCACAGCGCTCCTTGGCTTTCTCCCTCATCAGTTTGGGGATCAGGACATCTTTCTCCACGTGCCTCAGAGGGATTTCTTCTGGCATTGCAGTGAAAAACAAATGAGAAGCAACCCAGTCAGATTAATAAACAGTGGTATAAGTATCTGTTCAATATACGACAAAACTGGAGCACCTTTATCGTCATAGAAACCAGTTATGCTCGAACTAAATCATAAATGTGCATAATAAAAAATAGGTATTAATGTTTTGAACAAGGGAACGTATCAACATGAGCAGAAAGTGATAAATATTAATATGCTAACGTAGCTGTAGCAGTCAGAGCTTCAGGTTTCATTATCTACAAATACCACTTGACGTATTTACTTTTCAAAAATACCGCTATGTTCTTCAAGCAAATTACTAAATGCATTAAAAAATATATTACCGGTATTTGTTGACTCCATCTTTGCAGGGTTCTCAAAACATTACAAAACTGCACCAATGTGACCTAACTCACGTACGGTCAAACACTTCCGCTGACGTCATTTCGTAGTTTATTGACTACAAATCCCATAGACGCATGGGGCTGGTAAACCGGAAAACGAGAAAGGGTATTGAAAAAAATACGATAGCGGATGAGGGCCATTTGGTATAATGTCCATAAGTTAGAATTTCCTTTTTTTTTCTCAGAACTCTAATTTTATTTCTCATAGATTTTACTTAGGTTTCAGCATTCTGAATGTAATCACAAAATTCTCTCATTTTCTTTAGAACTCTCTTATCTCAGTACCTCCTCATGGAAAATATATTTGTAACTTATTTCAAGTTTTTTGTCGTCCATTAAATTAGTTAATTGCTTAGCCTACTGAGACTGTCATTTTCATAAATAAATTAATTCAAGTTAAGAAGTTCGATATTTTATTTTCTCTTTTCATTTTCAAGGGTTTTTTTAAGTTAATTGAGATCCTGTGGGGGAAAAAAGCATAAAGTATGATCAAACAAACCCATCTAAATCTTATTTTATAGCATTTTTATTCTGTTTTAATAAAAATTGCTTTATCCTAAAATGAAATAAAAAATGTGCTATTATTCTAAGTATAATCAGATACATTGCTGGAAATGTGAATGCTTTACTGTGCTTGTTTGTCCTCTAATGCCATCTGTACCAAGTGGCTATATACAGGTACAGTATATATGATGGATCTTCCATAGCAGTTTGCCTTACATATCGCTATAGAAGATGCAGGGGCCTCTTACCAGAACACTGGTAATCTCCAAACAATCTTGGCTCTTATTAGCTTAATAGCAGTAGAAGTGGAGGAGTGTGAATTCACCTGGACAATAAATTTGATTGGAGAAACAACTGTGAGGTTGTTTGCAGAAAGGAATAGAGCAGACTTTACTTCCCCGGGAAGCTTGGGTTCTTCAGTGTTTGCAACAAGATAATAATAATAATTGAACTTTATTGATCTCACATTGGAGAAATTTACTGCTGCATTTAACCCATCTCCTTGGGGAGCAGTGGGCTGCCATTGTGTGGCACCTGGGGAGCAATGTGGAGGTTAAGGGTCTTGTCCAGGGACCCAGAGTGGCAGTCTGCGGTAGTGGGGCTTGGCCTCAAAACCTCTGGATATCAAGGCCAATGCTCTAACCACTAGAGCACCCCTCCCCTAATTATGCTGCATATGTGGAAAAGGTGATCTCTTCTGCCATCATCTGCTGGGGTAACACTATCAGATCACATGACTTAAAGAAGCTCATCAAGGTGATGAGCTTCTTAAAATTAAGAAAATGATGGAACACAGTGACTACCCTCTTCCTCAGTCTGTTAAACAATGCTAGAATGTCATCAGTCAAAAGCTTCTCCAAGCTTTAAATGTAACTTGTCTTGTTCCCTTGGCAAAGTGTCTCACCTCCTCATTCAAGAACAAAGCACTTATTTAGAAAAAAAATAATTATTTAGATTCCAATTTTTCTACTCCTGTACACTTATTTTGATTTATTCCTTAGTTGTTTTTCTAACTTTATGTTTTTCCTGTTTCCTTGTCACAGTAGCTTCATTCTTCATGGTGCTCTGATGAGCTGCAATACCATGCTGGAGGGAGGCAACAGCTAAGCTGCTGCCTTCAACTACTTCAATAATATCTAGCCTTGGGCCTGTTTTTCACTGCTTATTTCTATCCTAGACATCGCTACGGTCTCAGCTTTGACTATAACTAACAGTATTTGCTCTCTCACAGCCTTTTGACATGAAAACCGGCTCAGACTGTCTAACTATTTCTTTCCTACACAGACCCACCTCTGGAGCTAGTTTACCATTACCTTCTCTAATAGAGAGTATTCATGGATTGGTGCTTCTATGTTCCTTTTATGTCTCTGCTTTTGTTTTTTAACCCCCAGTCAGCCTTGGCAGAAGGCTGCTCACAGTGAGTTTGGTTCTGCTAAAAGTTTATTCCTATTTGAAGGAAGTTTTTCTGTCCACTTTTGCTGCATGCATGCTTGGTGTTAGGATTTCTGTATAGTCAATAACATAGTGCAAGTAAATGTGCAATGTTACTACGTTCATCCAAGAAAAACAAATCTTTCAAAGTTAATGGGCCTCATGCTAAGCATTCACATTTACAGATTCTTTCTTAAATGGTTTGTACGAGTGATTTCAGAGAAAATGCAGCATTCCCAATTTTATGCCCAATTTTTATCTTCTCTCAGGTACAAACAAATTTGCTTAAGAAAGTGCTCCAGATTCGAAGTAGGAGTCTTGTGCAATCAGTGAGCTGAGCTGTTATCCAAACCTATTTTTTCACTAAATGGGTACATTTGTTGTTACGTAGAAGAAATTGTCAATTTATTTAGGCTACATTATGTGTTATGCATCTCTCCTTTTATGTATTACATTTTAATTCGCTGATGACAGAACCATCGGTCACCGCCCCTGCAGTTGACATGTCAGTATCCAGGGAAAACTGTTTTAATTTGTTGTTATTTCCTCAAAAGAAAGAACATTCAGAGATCAAACTACTATGAAAATAACATCTGAATCAGAAAATGAATTAAAAGTTAAAAATAAAGTTCAGCAACCTGCTGCTTGAAACTCCTCTAACAGCAGCACTTGAATTCAATTTACTCCCTGCGCCTGTTATTACATAAAATGTGGAATGTTTGAGTCTGGGTCTGAATTAGTAAAATAAGAGTTTGGCCGTCAACATTTTTGTTAATGCATTGTATGAGAGAGATGGGGAGTACAAAGAAGGGATGACAGAGGTGGCCTGGAGCTTTTAAGTGCAAGTGTGTGTGTTTATTAAAAGGACATTTAGCAGAATGGCAAGTCGTGTTGGTTGATGGTGAACTCTTATTAAGCATTTATATCATATGCTGCAACTCTTTCCTCCAACAGTAGTTTTTTTTGACTATTTAAGAATCATATCTTCCTCTTGTCTCAATTTTTTAACTCACTTGTTACCATTTGTTTTATTAAACTAGATTGTAACCCAACAAACCAAACAATCTATCGACCAGCCGATCAATCATTCAATCAATCAATCAATCAATCAATCAATCAATCAATCAATCAATCAATCAATCAATCAATCAATCAATTCCAAATGAAATTGAGAAGATAAACAAAAACACACCCTCCATTGTGGAAAAGCATTAATGTTTAAATGTGCTCTTTATCAGACTAAAATAATTTTTGATCCAACCTTGAGTAAAGAAATAAAATCACTGCAGTTTTCACCTGTCTAGTTCACTGAAAAGTTTCAGAAATAAATTAAGCAATTTTGAATCAGTTTTTAGCCAACAACATAAAATGATAGCAAAAATGGTAAGTCAACTGCCACCCGCAAGGTGTTGGAACCACATAAGCGCCATAGGCCTGACCACAGTCAGCTCTGTGGCGGACATGCTGTCTGGATCCCATGCAAGGAGGACCCACCTGTTTAATCAAAGAGACAGGTAGACGGTTTCAGACAAACACACCTTGCAGCGAAGTGTTCACACATTATTCTTTAGAGGTTGTAGACAACGTTGAGAAACAGGTGTAAACTGCATCGAAACCACACACTTACGGTGAATGCCTAAAAAACTCGCATTCACCCACACACTACAGAAGAGGCAATGTAGCAAATCTATTACTAGTCCGCCTCAAGTTCTCACAGATTTCTGCATTATAGGGTTGAAACTGCTATCTCCTCTGTAGAGGCCAGTTCTCTCATCTGCAAATCAAAAGGCAGAAAGAGCAAAAAAACAAGCTTTCTACAGAGAAAAAAAATAAAAGAGAGACCACAAGCCATCACCTTTATGTGCTTGACTTTTGTTTTTCACAGGACACACTCAGACATGCAGACATTTCAACACAAGTCTCCCCTAGTCCAGAAAGTACACTATTCTGCTTATATGCCTGCTGACAACATGCAGCTATCTGATGGGTTTAATACCAACAGATCTCTCCAAAAATTGTAGAACTTGCCAAGATTTCACTAAATCAGACATGATTAAAACAATATATAAAACGCATTGAGGGATTGGTGGTGTAGTGGTTAGGGCATTGCACCTGGATCCCACACCACTCGTGCAGACTGCCACTCTGGGTCCCTGAGCAAAGACCCTTAACCCCATACTGCTCCTCGGGCACCGCACAATGGTAGCCCTCTGCTCCCCAAGGGGATGGGTTAAATGCACAGAGTTCATTTCGTTGCTTTGTACTTGTGACAATGTAATGACAATAAAGTTGAATTCTGATCTTATATTTTTGAGTATTACATTCTTTTTTATCCAGAAAAATTACAAATCTTAAAATGTGGCTGTTAGGCACAAATTTGGCAATCTAAACATGTCCTGTTTCGAAATTCAAGACAAAAAGGTCTACAGAAACTTCTTGTAAAGAGGATGTTTGTTTCAAAAGCACTGCATACAGGAACAGTGTATCTTTTGATCTCAGAACAAGATCTAATGCTTTGATGGTGCAGAGCTTTTGCTCTGTGTACAAGATATTTTTTTCTGTTTTTTTACTCAAACCAGTTAAAAGAGTTAAATCCCTTGAATTAGCCCAATCACTTTGCAATTCCTCATGTTTTCTAAGTTGGCACAGCAGCTTAGTTTTTTTTCTGCATGAAAGTAAAATCCCAGTCCCAGCTTTTAAAGAATTGAAATCTCAAACATCTGTGACTTGTTATAAAATGCCACTTAAAAGAGTGCTGTGTATCCATAAATGACAACTGAAAGAGTGTGGCACATCACTAAACACATCAAATCATGACCCGCACACTGAACGAAGGGGGACAGCTGAGGGACTCTGGATTAGACAGACATCTTGCTGCCTGGACCATCAACTATCTTACTGAACACCCTCAGTACGTCCGGCTGCACGGCTGTCGGTCAAAGATGGCATATTGCAGTGCCTGGGGCCCCCAGGCCACCGTTCTGTCTCCATTCCTTTTCAACATTTACACCTCAGACTTCACCTACAACACAATACAATACCTGGGAGTTAATTTCGACAACAAACTGGACTGGACTCATAACACCAACGCCCTGTATAAGAAAGGCCAGAGCGCCTCTGGCTCCTGAAGAG